CGCCGGCAGCCGCTGTGGCGGGAGCTACAGGCTCCTGGCGGCTCTCTCGGCTCCCCCTCAGGTTCCCCCGGTTCGGGAAACCCCCCTGTGCACCACGCTAGAGCGCTCCGCTGCGGATCCTGCCGGCGCCGGAGCTGCTCGCCTTGGCGATATGTAATTATCACCCTTTGGATTTTTTGTTTTTTTATTTGATTTTTTTAAAAAATATAAGGGGTCATCCATTTCTAGGTAGATGGATACATTCTAGAAAAATGGGTTTAGGACAGAATGAAGTAATTTATTGCTCCAGGCTGACTTGGCAGAGGCAGTGACTGGATGTTTATCTTCAACACAAGAGAACGAATGTTCGTATTTTAATCAGATTCATTTTCAAGAGAGCAAACACTGTGATACCATTTTCTTTCAGTATGCTTTATGGATGGTCTTGCCGCAGGACCCCCTTGGGCTTTCAGATTGGCCCCATTTATGATTTGCAGTTGTGTTCCAAACAGAACCAGATTCTCTATTCCACCTAGTCATGTCCTAGGATTGCAATATTCAGATGTATATTTGCGCTGCAAGAGTTCCTGCTCCATTTCTGCTACTGGCTGGAGATTGTGGACCATATACCAAAATTACTAGTATATATGCTATATGCAACTGCAGTCCTCCACTACAGAAGCTAATGGAAATGGTGCAACTCATACTATTTAGTGTGACTTGAAAAGATCTGCCCCAATTATGTTTGTCTGTATTCACTGAATAATCCACCTTCTTCTGGTGCTTATCAGTGTAAATACACACTTGGTTTCAGTGCTAAATCTGTATGATGTCTTAAAGCATGCTAATCTGCAATTTTGCAGATTATTGGGTAGCATTTTCTGTCTTGTTGGGGCCATTAATCCTCATGTGAATTTTATGAGAGTGATACCAAAACAAAAAAAAAAAAAGAAAACAGTATTTTGCCTCAAATTCCTGTGCAAACTCTAATGGCACAGCTCTTTGGGAGACCTTCCCACAGGCATACAGAACAAAATACCATACACCACTCCAGCTGTTCTGATTTTTTCGTTATCTCAAATGACAAACTGTGTTTGAAGCTACATTTGAGTCTGCTGGTATTTCTGACTTACTCTCCTGCTTTGCCTGCAGATGGCTACACAACTGACGACATAGAGTTCTACTGGAGAGGTGGAGATAATGCGGTCACTGGCGTGGAGAGGATTGAGCTTCCTCAGTTCTCCATTGTGGAATATAGACTGGTGTCAAAGAATGTTGTCTTTGCCACAGGCAAGTATTGTCATTTGCCCATTTAGTGTCTAATTTCCTTGTGTATGAAAATTGCTGTTTTATTAATCATAATTAATCATTATTAATCATAATTATATATAGTCTGTGTTGTGTGTTTGGCTAAAGTAATTACTTACTTGATAAAGCCTGGAGGCAGGAGTCCATGAAATAGCATTTCTTGTTTATCTTTCTTTTTCTTGTGTGTGTATGTGTGATACTTAACCAGCCACCTAAATATCTATGGTCTAAACAAATATGAAGTCATTCACCTCTGAATCATCAGTTTAAATGTAGCCTACAGGGTTACTGATCATACATAAGTTTATTTTGGCATACAAGGTCAAAATGCTACCGTTTTTATGAACACCTCCCTGCAACTTTTCAGTGCATATTTTTTTTGTTGTTGTATAGTGAATGTAATGTCTTTTATATCTTTATTTGCACTGATGGGTATATAGTACTGTATACATAGCCAGGGCTTTTGTCATCATTGTTAAGATGCTAAAATTAAATCCCTGGGTTTTCTTCTTGTTTCCTTGAAGATGTAATAAAAGTTACTGGTAACTCACATCATGAGATGCCTTCAGGTGACAAAGCACAATGTTGATTTACATTTTTAATGTTAGACACCAGCATAGGAAAATGTTGTTATGTGTGACAAGACCAAAGCAACACAGAAAGCCGTCAGCAAGTGTGGGGCTGCTATTTGGGACCTCCAGATTTTCAGTACTCTTCAGACCACAGGAGTGTGCTGTTCCGTCTGTCCCAGCGTACTAGAACAAATGAAGCACAGCTCTATTATGTTTGTAAGCATCACTTCACCCACTCTTTGGACACAGCATCTGTTTCAAAGTACACAGAAATGCAAGTTGTATTTCAGAACAAAATGTAAATATTGCTGGGATTGAAATTAATATGAGGGGGTTTGCCAACTGCTGCTGTTCTTGTTTATCATTGTGAATGGAAGGGTGGGGGTTTTTTTAAAGAGAAATCAATACTCTAATCCTATATCCCTCCATTCTGCAGCCAGTGTCACCTTTGGCAGCCAGGGCTTACCTGCTCCTCCACAAGACTGGACATACTTTTGTGGAATGGCTCTTTGGACAACAGTGAGAATACAGAGAACTTATTCGGGAAGTTTTTATGACAGTCCAAAGCCACCTTTTAGTTCCGTATGAAATGCTTCAGTAAAGACATGATTTAGTAATTCAGAGATGAGAGAGATTTGTTAAATTCAGGAAAAAGAGAAATCCAAAGAGCTGTGAGGCAAATATGAGAGAGAATGAAAACTAGGAGTAGACATTTATATGACTGACCAAATATTCAGAATCATAACAGTTCTTTCCAAAAAAACTTGTGGAAGGAGTAAAAAAGTCTCGTACTTCAGGGTTTAAGACAGTTTGACATTAGGGAGTAGGATGAGACAGTCACAGAGAACAGACTACTCCATGTTTCTTGTACCATTTTCTGAAGCGTATAATGTGTGTCACTGATGAAGTCATTATACTGCATTTACTATTATTTTGGTACAGGACATTATGAAAATGCTTGATTAATTACGAAATTTTGTGACAAGTATTTCCATGCAGGGGAAACATCACATTTGTTGCTGAAAACCACATATTTAATTGTAAATCCAAAGCATGCTAGTGAATCTGACGGATAAAGTCAGCACACACTTTTCAAATTTCTTCTCAAGACCCTACTTTTTTATCGTCCTAGGAATTAGGGCCAGTTTCTACATTTTTGTGGAAAATAAGTAAGGCATGCTTTTTTTTTTTGGCTTTGAGGTTATTGACGTCTCAAGGGAAGATATTAGTTCTTTGAGAGCCGTATCTCAGTGAACATTTCAGACATTTCAGTACTAGTGTGCTTTGATTGTATAAAACTAAAAGAAGACTTCAGAGTCATGTCATAAACAGCTTTTGGAGTAGTTATTTCTCCTATCCTCTGTGAGGAACAGTGCTGTATAATCTTGTGTAACTTATGCAAATGGAAAAATCTGTTCCCATAGTTACTACTGAGAAGCAGCGGTAAGCATGAGAAAAACCCCATAGATAATGACATAAAGCTGTGCGGGGCTGCAAGAATACTGAAGGAACTATATGCATGTTGAAGCATAGCATTGGAGTTAAAAATGATCTTGCCAAATCAGCAAAATTGGTCTGAAAAGAAGTATAAAAGTCAGTATGGACAAGTGCAAAATACAACATTTATACACCTAATTATTCCTATCCAAATTCAGGACAGGGAATACCAGGTTAGGCCAGAGTTCTGTGTGTAGAAATCCAGGGGCTGCTATTGATCTCAGACTGAACATGAACCAATTACATCTTTTTTTGGGGAAAAAAAAAACAAAAAAACAATTACATCTTTTTTTGGGGAAAAAAAAACCAAAAAACCCCAAATCCTACAAGGAGTCTGACTTGCATTGCTAAGGCCTGAGCTGCGTATTTGTGGTCATGGGTAGTACTCTTCAAGACAGTCGTGGAGCAATAGAAGAGGGTCTAGGGAAAATTAGCAAGTAGGAAGTCTAGAAAATGGAATACATGAGATAGCTGGAGAGCCAGGTATGATTGTGTACTTTAAAAAAGAACAGTTGATGGGAAATAAAGTCTTCAAGTGTCTAGAAGGCATCGGCAAAGACATGGGGAATAGCCTGTTCTCTTTATCCATGACGGAAAGAAGAGAAAGGAGTATTTAAATTGCTGTGAAGAAGAAAAATCTGCTTTGACTATCCTTCTAACACCAGCTGAAGGCCATACAGCCTACCATAAGATATCTAAAATGGCACTGGATACCTATGTGTCAGTAGCTGAATTAAGCTCATAGTCAAATGATATCAAATCAGTGCTGTCAGTGGAGCCTAAAGAGCTATTCAGCGCTTGAACACCTCTATTCTGTCAAGTGAATAGCTCTTAGGACACTATTCAGTTGCCTAAACATAGGTATCTGGTGCCTCAAGATGCTGTAGAGCATCCTGCTTAGCAGTTAGGCTGCTGTTCTGGAGTCTTACAGTCTTGTGTCCTATGTACCAATCTAGTGCTTCAGTATTAATTACTTAACTAGTATTAAGTTCTACTCTTCAGTAGCCTAAGGCATCTCAAATAGCATTAGATACCTCTGTATAGGCAATTAAATCACACCCTTAGAATCAGCTGGCTGTAAGTCTAGATCTCCGTGGTTTACACTGAGAGCTTATGTGTCATCCATGTGTAAATATCTGCATGCAAACACCTGAAATTTAGTGCCTAGACCTGTGAGCTGAATCCACCTCCTAAATGTTTGTTATCCAGAAATGCTAAAAAACTGAACAGGAATGGGGATATGTAAAACACCACCTAAAAGCTTCAAGATGCATAGCAGTCAGAGTGAGATTAGCAACAAGTTGGTAAGAGGAGGGTAATCTTAAAAGATTTGAAAATTAATTATGTGCTGTATTCTGAAAGATCAATCTGTAAAGTACATTTCCAATTAGCCGAAGAACCTTCCCAGAAGAACAGATTAAAATAAGAATTCTGTAACTGACCAACTCTGTTATCTTGGTTCATACTTGGATAAAACAGCAAGAGACTAATTTAGCCTTGGAGCTAGATATTTCAGCTTGCTAGCTTTTAATGAAATTGAAACAGAAACAAGTAATTACTTTTTACTAAGTCCCCAAATATATGAAAGAGGAATATTTTGAGCTCAGTTATTGATTAAGTATTTGTTTTCATGCGTGCATTCTCAATACTATTGTTAGATTTAAATACTTCAGGCCAAATTCTATTATTCCTGTACTTTTTAAATTAGCTCATAAACATGAACATGTTATATGAGATGGGAGAAAGGGTAACAAATCTGGTCCCTGAAGAGCAACACTGTTCTTTAGGCAAAAAACAAATTTTGATGGAATGTTAACAACTACAATTTCCTGGTAATTAATCTTTAAATGTACTGAGCCTTAATTGAAAAATCGTTATCCAAGCATAATCAGGCAAGTAACAGTGTAATTGTTGAGCTCACCAAGAAAACTATTTTTATTAAATAAATTGTACAAGATGGTTCCTTCTTAGATAAATAAAGATCTGGGCTTACAATCTTTGTTCTATGCAGGTTAGGACCCATCTTTTTCACTGAACTTTGGCCATCCAGACAAAGAGGGGGAAGTAAGTAGGGGAAATAAGGAATGTTCCTTCTTTTAATTCTTTTTTTCCACAGATTCCTGTGGTCTCTTTGCTGGGGGTGAAATAGAGCAGAGATGGCAGGCTGGAGGCAGGGCCAATAGATCATCTGTGAAGGCATAAAAGCAATACAGGTGAAAGTAATACAAACTTTTGTCATCTCAGGGAGAGCTACCTAAAGGAGAACTCTGTCTGCATAGTATGAAAAAACAAGGGTACCAATTCATGTTTCAGTTTCAACCTGAACTATACAAAGACCAAATTATTCTGAATTTTCCCGAGATCCAGACCTCCCAATAAAATTTGAGCTTGGAAAATCACAACAAAACAGGATGACATTCTATTTACCTCTATGAAACCGAGCAATGTGTCAACTCCAGGAAGCAGCCGTGATGCCAGCAAGACTTTTGGTTAGATTGCCCAGGAACCACAGACCTTCAAAACCTATCCTGAGACTTGCAGGGCTGGGATTCATCTTGCTCTAATTTAAGGTGAATATAATTTCAGTGTCTATATATGAACTAGGTGTCTTAGTTGATGGGAATCTACTCAATACGGTCTGTGGAGTCTGGAGACAAATTCAGTCCACCAATAGGAGTCTATTTTAGGAGAAGATGGATAATTCTCTAGATTTCATTTACTAGATTGAATAGATGAACTGACTCTCCTGTAAATGTAATTGGAGCTTAAACACCTAGCTCATGTGTATGCAGTTCAAGTGAGTCGCTTTATCAACTGCTATTTGAGATGGCATAGGGCAGCCTTAGTCTCCAGCTGCTGATCAAAAAGATGTAGGGGCTATGTCATATCCACCAGCTGTGTGCTGGTGTCTGAGATGTCATAGGGCATCTCAAAAGGAACAGTGTACCTTCAGATTCACAACTGAATCTCTCTGTTGCAGTCCAGCTCCAACTCTAGAGCAGGAAGACAGACAGCACTGACAGCCCTGGCCCTAGGTGTGGTTCTTAGAGTTCTATCTTCTAGCTTCAGGACAAAGAACCTGGTGTTTGAAACAACTTTATGTTGACGTCTCTGGCCTTGAGGCAATCTGTCTGGAGAGTCCGCCTCTAAGGCCAGGTCCCACTAGTTTCAGTAATTACCTTATCTCATTAGATGGAGATGGTGATGAGGTAATGGATGATGGTCACAGGTGAAGCATTCAAGATAAATGTTTAAACTTTGCTCTGTTACACTGTTTCTCGGTTCAGGATTTCGTTACTGAACATTACTGAAATACGTGACACCTTACTTCTCTCCACTGTTGACACATGCCTCCTCCATCCACACCATTTTCCCTGCTTTATCAATAGCAAAGTGCTCTCTTTCTTCTTTCTCTGAGGTTCCCCAGTGCGTCCAGGGTCCTTGGCGCTGGAGCAGCCCAAGAAGAGGCTTTAATTCAGTGATTCAGTTCCACTGAACCTTCTTGATTGAATCCTTCAGACTATTTATCAAAGAATCAGTATTTTATGGGAGATTTTCCAGTCATCACCTCTATCAATGATATTCCACAGACACCCAAACCTGGACAGGACTTTTGGAAAGGAAGAGATTTATAGACAATCCTTTACGTGGGTGGTGTATTATATGAAATAATTTTCCTCAACAGAGCTTTATAAAGATTTCTGTCTGATGCAATACTCTTATTGCAGAAGGGTGATCAGGTCTGCTACATTTTTAATGTATTTCATGATGGCAGGGTATGCTCCTGTTTTATTTACATAGTCTGCAGACACAAGGCCATGGAAACCCTTTCATAAGAAGCTCAATGAAAAAGTTAAGCTTTGTTAGCAAAAAAGCAGTCATGGTTTCAAAGAGAGAATTTGTCTTTTGAAGTGAAACATTGTTCATTGGAAAATGAAGATGTTAAGCAAGCTAAAGTCTAAATGATTCTTTGCTGAAAATTATATTGACTGCTTTAGAGAGCAGAAAACCTTGGTCTGATTTTCATGATGAAATAAATTCTTCTGACTCTACCAATATTCCTCTATTGGTGAAACTAGAAGGCATTTCATCGTGGAAAAAATTACTACTAATTGAAGTAATCACAGCAACCAAATAAATCTACCAGATACTTCTTTTTCCAGTGATGGTTCTTCTGAGATTGTTTGCTGAAACAGTTAAGGATAGTTGCATAAAGTTTGATACTCCCTGGATGCTTCTGCTGCCTGGAAACAGTGTAGCATTTTTTCTGTCATATGACTCAAAGTATACCTAACTATCAGGAACATGATGAAGAGAAATCTGCGGTTTTCTATTCCTTCTTTTGCTTTCTCTCTCAGGAAATCCATCATTCTTGTGTATATGGGCAAATGTAATTTCTTATGCTCATATGCGAACATATGAACATAATTTAAAGGGAAGTCTGTAATTTTTTGTTTCTAGATGTAATCTTTCATATCTTGCACATACTTGCATTAGAATGGGAGGCATGTGATCTAATATCTAGTTGGGCCCTCAGTATGTTCAGAAATGTTTTTTAGGATGTTGACTGTAACTAGAGATTTTAGATGAGCTATTAGAAGTAACATATCTAAGACTAGTAATGCAAACACTGAAATCATGGAGCTAATGCTGTGCAAATGACTACCTTTTTCTTGTACAGCTGTACTCAGTTTTAATCCTCTCTGCATTTGGTGAAAGAAGTCACAATTTTTTTAACTGTTTGAGATTTCTAAATACATAAAATATATTCAGTAAGATTAACACCAATTTTGAAATACACCAGTTTGAAGTTAAATAATAAAATGCTTTGTTTGAAACATTGACATTGAGGTTATTTATTTTTTTCATTATTTTTTGCTTGTAACAATTCAATTCATGACTTCTATAAATATACT